GGTACAGTATATCATACAGATATTAAATGGTGACGTCAACAATGGCTGACCCGAGGTGATGGTAGTTGACCATGTTTTGATCTACGAAGTACATGCAGGAGGAATGAAATTAAAAAAAAATGCTTTGATAAAAACAATGAATAACGTTAAACACAAAAGGTTTAATTTTATTGACTCACCTGGAATATTTTTTTATTTGACGCAGTATCACTTGTGTCCTATAACGATATCAATACATTGTCTGTACAGATTATCCAATACAGTATCACTTGTGTCAGATTATAATATCAATTCATTGTCTGTTCAGATTTTCGAACTCAGTCATGTTGTCTCATATAAATGCGGAACATCTCTCTCCCTATATCCGAGTTGCTCATAACTGCTGTCACCTGCAGACATCTTCGTGATGTTTTTGTCTCTTTCCTGGGCGCCTATAACGGCATAGGTACCGTCTGAAAAATGACACAAAGCAATACACTAAACTGCATTGCATATGGTTGTTGGCTAGATGATTGACTATCAGATATAAAGATTCAGCTATAGTCAGCTCATGTTATGATAAACTTTAGTATGTATTGAAAAATGGTATTAAATAAATGAGAGTGAATTTTAATCCTGAAATCTACTTTAGTTGAGGCTATGTGCGGTTTTTGTGTTTTTAGATTAGATAGAGATATTCATGCAAAACCTGTTTCTGCCCGTCGTTCCTGTCCAATACTCGGTAAAGATATATCTGTCATAGTGGTAGACCTCGTGGTGTTCTGATTGTTCATTGAACGATGTCGTCTTGCCTGTACAATTATCACGATGACCAGAGCAACGATAACCACTCCAAAGACGCTACCTATTCCAACTGCTGCCGCCTTGAAGTCATCTTCTTTACTTGGTAAAGTGACAACTACAAGATATGTGATATATATGCATAACCTTATTTTCATTTTGTTATTCATGGTTAGCTATCTTTTTGCTCTTAACAAGTTTTGTCTGACATTGGTCAATACATTATATTCTTCATCAAATCTATTGAACACAGATTTTTTTTTTTTAAATATTAACACCATTCAAGCATTATTATCATAATGTTTGTGATAATATTTCAATTGATTTAATCGAGCTTCTGGAGATCGAATGGTCCCTGGTAACATCAGTTGTGTAAGTATATAATGTTACGCGCATTCGCAACACAGACTAATACATGAAGCTGTACATTATACACCCATGTGGATAGAATGGTAAATATACTGTTACTCTTGCAATATACATGTTTCACGTAGATGATACTCTGTATATTCTACATTATTTACAATTTTATATAAATACATACGGCAGCGATAATCACAATATATATATATATATTCTGAAGAACCTCATAGAACAGATGAAAGTACTAAAGACTCGTTGTTGAGAATTTTTCTTTTTATAATATATATATATATATCTGTGTTTGTAACTGTATGTATGGATGTATGTATGTATGTACATGTAATTTGTTTGCCACACGGCTATTTTTTGAAGCTTTTATAAGTCAACTGTATGTGTATATGCCTCCTTGCTAACAAAGGTCCATGGTGTATGTCAGTAATCAGTTCAATTATAGAATTTGTTAATAGATAATGATCATAAATCATATTCCGCATGATATACAAAAAAATGCAGGCGAACTTAAACACAATCTCGTAAATGACTTTCCAAGATCTCTCAGGAGTCATTATGAACAAATAAAAACATAAGTTTACCTTTAATGTCACACCTATGGCCAGTTAGTCCATCTATACATGACGTCATACAAGTCCCGGTGTCTTTGTCACATCTCCCATCTTGACAGTAGCCACACATGTTTACACATTTGCTACCATGGAAGCCAGAGACACACTCTAAAGACAGCATGATGGATGTTATCAAAAGTTAATGATTCGTGAATTAAACTTTACATGATAGTGCAAATAAATCACATGTTGTTTCAGAAATATGTTTATTTTTTTGTCTGCACAAATCAGATAATAACATTTCGTTGCTTAAACTAATGCAAACATTTGCATAAATCATGCAAGTAGATATTAGTTTCGCAATAGTATTGACACTAAAGTTAATAATCAAAACAAGACATAAGATAACTTGTACTATTTTGACAAAAACATGGTCAGATTTAAACCTACCCGCTTATCGATGTCGAAAAGTCATACCATGAAAGGTGTTTTGTATGTATAATACTTATACGCGGTGGAAATGTATCTAGCTGTATATCCCAACCGTCTCATTTGTGACGTCACACCTCATGGCATCATGTCACAGAATTCAAATTACAATTTTTTTTTGAAAAGGACATCGAGTAAAAACATTATACATATATTACTCACGGTACGGCATCGCTTTTACATTATCAAATATAATAAAGCACGTTAGGCAATGCACTACATGAGTACATATCAAGATTTCCAACTACTTCCACACAATACCTATGCATCGTCCGTTCTCCTGAATACAAGCATGGTCCTTGCAGTTGTCCGGGCAATTCAGAGAACAGTCGCTGCCATGGTAATCTGGTCCACATCCTTGAGGTACAAATTAAGGAACATATTATTCATACCATCCCATAACTAACATAGAGGAGGAACACGTTTACTTCTAGTACCAACATGTACATGTAAGAAAATGTTTCATTACATATCTGTACATATACGATAAGTTTTCCAGTACATGCNCATGTCATATAAGTTTCTCACTACAGATCTGTAGGACCAGTTTCTCAGTAAATACATATCAGATCAGCTTCCCAGTACAAACAGGTACATGTACGATATTTTCCGGTACCTACCTATAGATGAACGATTAGTTTCACAGTATCTTCATGTACATATAAGATCAGTTACACATTATATATATATACATATAAGATCAGGTTATCAGTACATACGATACCAGTACATGTAAGAAGTTTTTTTCATTACCTACCTGTATATTTACGATCAATTTCACAGTGCCTACCTGTACATGTAAGATCAATTTCGTAGTATAAACTTGCACATGGATTATCAGTCTCACAGTACATACCTATACACCGACCATTAGTCTGGTTACAAAATTTATCCTTGCAGTTGAACGGGCAATTCATATCGCATTGATCGCCATGATACCCAACAGCACATTCTGAAACAAAGAAATTCCTTGGAATCATAAACATTGGTTTATGCAACAAAGTGCGTATTTTTGATAGAATAAAGGTGTTCCACCATCCACATACGTATTTATAAAGTGTGCATTAACAACGGATTAAAGGTGTTCCAAACTATCAATATAAAATATAATTTGGTGACGAAACCAGGTTTCGGGGAAGGAATAATAACTTGAACCATATATTCCATAAAACTAATGTTTACAACATTTCTAACAGGTCAATTTTTGCTTAACATGTATCATTTGTATAATGAAAAAAAAAATGCTCACCTGTTTCTTTTTTTTACTGTTATCATCTGATACATGTATACAAAACTTCACTTCACAAATTGAAAATGAATATTCAACATATAAATTATTTCTAATCACATTTTCAAATGTATGACAAATGAATCATTGGATGCTTGTTTAAAATTAATATAACAAAATAGCTAAATGCTAATTATGAAATCATAACATTTTATCAATAGTATTATTACCTGTACAAAACCTGTTAACCTGGATACATATGCTGTCTTTACAATTGGTAGGACACGTCTGAGTACAGGTACTTCCGTGATATCCGGCTTTGCATTCTGAAGTATTATATTGGCAAAGATTACTTTAATATAAGTATACTTGTTATTCCTGACCTAAAACTTAATCATTCTAATTTTGTTAATACCGATAACTGAAGTGAAATGCACTAAGAAAATAAATATGGAGCAACTAGTGATAAACTAAAAAAGAAATTCTGAAAGGCACTAACGTCATTTTGCTTTGTTTACATATCTCTGAATTACTTAAGCGTATTATTATTTGATGCAAAGGTATAGTTATTTTAACTTGTTTTTACAAGTTATGTTGTGTTCTCACCTAAGGCATTGTTCATCATATCAAGTATAGAGAGCATATAATGAAACGCATCCAATACATAAAGCGGTATACATACAACGTATACAATACATAAAACGGTAAATATATAGCGAATATCTGGTAAGCATCAAATATTTATTGTTATTTTCGTTAACAAAAGAAAATCGAATGATCAAATCATGGTTAGCTATCTTTTTGTTCTTTCCGGCTTATAAGATTTTTTTTCCGTACAAAATTTTACAGAATAAAGAGTAGATTTCCTGCGTTGACTTTGTCGCCAAACAGGATGTATACATGTTAATACAAATTACCCTTGGAATTGACTTCGTCTTAACAAAATTTAAATGTATAGCTTTTGTTTCAAGTTTATGTGAGCAAGTGTGGTAACATTGATGGGTATTTAGTGAAAAAACATCGTCACGATTTAACCCAAGTATTCGAATACGTGAACATGATTTGTTAAAACCTGTGTTTTGACCTTTTTTAATTTTATTTTCAAAACGTATCATTACTGGTCCATTGCTGGTAGAGTGTATTTATAGCTTAAATGTTGTGGCATGTATTTCTTTGTTTTTATCGCCTATTTTAACACATCAATGAATTGATTTATCCCTCATATTTTGGTTTCATTTCGTATTTTCACAGCTACATGTAATACGCTGGAACGTTTGCTATTTTTATGAAAAATAAATGCTGTATAAATTAATTGGGCACACTTCAATATAACAATAGATCGAATGAAAAGATAGGATAAATAATGGACTGCATGTCAACAGGATTATCGACGGCAATTTCAAAAAATGAATATACATTATCATAATGAAAAATAACTTTTTGGAAACGTCCGTAACACAACCTTGTATCACATGATATTCTAATAATGGTTTTAACATTTCTTAACCAAAGCATTGAAGTTGTTTCAAAGATGATCGGAAAATTTACAATAAGTAATTATTTGTCGAATGAAATAACATAAATATGTTGACAACAAATACATGTGTATCTTAGTAAAAGTGTTGATATGGTAAAAAAGCACGTTGCTCGTATTGAAATGATATGTTAGCACTGCTACCAAGAGCCTGACATGAAATCATATAGAAGCTGAAGGACATAACGTGTTGACGACAGAAATGTATCATAGTGTTAGCAAAGTGTGACATATGTTTGCGCACTTAGAGACCAGTGCCAAACGATGCGTGTGATATTTATGTTTGTAATAGGTTAAGTACACATTACATCTTACCTGAACAAGCTCCAGTAAAGCTGTCACATTTATTTTCCGCACAATTAACCGGACATTGAACGCAAATTCCGCCAATTTTATAATATCCAGCAGTGCAAACGTCTGAAATATTGAGTTTGGATTCGATGATATTACATATACAATATGCTCTATAGATGCACTTTACATATGAACATGAAACGTGTATTAATTAACACAACAGTAGGCACACAAGGCTTGTTATAACGCTTCAGTAAGTATACATCTAATGTATTCGAAAATGAACACATACATGTATTTTCCAGAGAAAAAAACACAGCGTAGTTTTGTCACCATCTTAGTTTATGACCAAATTAGTATTCTCTCATTCTCCTTTTCGGGATAATTAATGTAAAAATGTGTTTTTTTGAAGTAACACAATACATTGAGAAATATTTATGTAATTTAAAAAAAATAGTTCCCCAGGTGGATCTCCACTGTAGTATCTGTTTTAATTGAAAACTCAGTAATATTATACATTGACTGGTTTTACTTATTTCATTATGCTCTAGCTTAATTTATTTGATTTTTCCATTCATGCAAATGCTAAATCCTTCCTCGTCAGATGTTGTAACGGGGATATTATCAGTCTCAGATAAACGAATAAATGTTTGATGTCCTTTATACATTAGCTTATGTTGGAAATTATAATGTTCAGGTTAAATACTTGTTTAATTTATGTCTGTAAATGTCAAAACATTGTTGAGTATACAATGTAATTTCTTCATTAAAGTTCTGTTAGTGTTGTTGTTTTCTATAACGACGAAAAAAGAGTATTTATTACCAAATTTGTTGCAAACGCAGAAATCCCTTTTTTTAATGCTTTGTAGCAAGTAACGTGTAGACAACCAATCGTTAGGGGATTTGTTTTAGTCCATTTGTTTACATAAAGGTTCAATGAACCTCTAAAAGTTGCTTTAGTAACACGAAATTTTAACGCCCTGAAAGCCATATTCAAAAATCCCAATTAAACATAGGAATTCATATATATAATTTGAATACATTGAATCGCGAAAAATATTGGTATGTTGTTAGTCTGGTGAACAATTTTTGATGGAGATAACAACAATAATGCCTTATTATTGACTACGTTAGCTTTGCTTTACCATTTTAATAGCTAATGTACATGTTCATTTTATACAAATTAAAAATATAAGTTCCCTGCTGTTGGGGGGTATTTTGATATGACTTATTAGGGATTGGAATTTACCTAGACAATACCTTCTTTCGGGGAGCTTTTAAAACCTTAAGTTTTAGTCTAATTACAAGACGGAGCTAAAAACTGAAATTGAAAGAGTAGTCAATATTACTTTCTGTTCAATTTATCAAAGGTTTAAAGAAAAAAATAGCAAAATTCTATGTTGTATGAAATATGTCCTGAACAGTAGTTCCACACATCTATTTCAATCTTTCGTCTCTGATTGCATGAGTGCATAGATCCATTCATACAATGAACGTGTGCAATCTGAGATAACCAATGAGCACATATGCCAACTACATTTATTATTTCTTTGTGTGTATATGTTCTTTTCGGTTAAACATTGCTCATCATTTACCCCAATTTAAAGCTTTATTTTCTTCCCGAACTCTATAACTGAGAGTAACTGCGGACCAAATAACAACGAACACAGCATGATGACGTCACGGTTTTTTTACAATATTTCTTTCAATTAGTCGATCATTGAATAGCTAGAGAAGAGTTCCTGCCATATAGACGTTTACTGTAGCTTGCGGGTATTACAGCATCTTGTATAACCACAGTGTGAAATACAGCATCCTTGTTTCATTGTCTGAAAGCTGGCGCATCGCTACAGTAAGATTCACCAGGTACGTATTAAAGAATATTAATCATTCTAATCCTGATTGTTTTTAGTTTGATTTATGCATTTCTATACTTTGTGCCAAACATTAATTTTGAAATGCATAGTTGGCATATAAAACATGTAATTATCAGAATAACACTGCATACACTTTTCAATACACATGGTTGGTTGTTTTTCATATATAATTTTATATTACTAATTATTTATTTAACATGCGTGTTTCGTTTGTAAGTTTAATTACCATTTTACTTATTATTTTGATGATTGATTTTGCGTTTGTCGCTGTCCTCATACGCCCGTCGAAGAGATCACTAGAGGTCGTGTAATCTTATAGTTTGTACCGTCCGTTGGTCCATCAGTCTATACACTTTTCCTTAATAGATGTATCACGATGAAAACTGATACAGTCAATATATTGATATAAAGCTCGAACAAGTCTTTATTTCCGTATCTTTCCATCTCTCTACGCGTTTCGAGGCGTTGCCTTCAGATGGGACAGCTCGGGCTTGCAAAAATCGCGCTACGCCACTTATAGCCTACACGTTTTGTTTTATTTTCATGCCGGTATGCATGATACTTACCCTTATTACGCACCTGATATTTTGTAGGATATCACTTATTTTAAATGTATTAAAAGAAAATTATTTGTATTTGTTGTTATTCACGATACCATGATAGCTTTACTTATATATTGGTGAAAATAAATGTCAAATGGACGGAGGGAGGCATTCCCGTAATACGATCTTATGAATAATTTGCTCTGCTGTTCTCATTATTGTTCATGTGTAGGAAATAACATAGATCAAGAATACGTACCACATGTACCAGATGTTGCGTCACACGTGTTATTGACGCAGTTCATGCAGTCGTTATTGCAATTTCCATTTCCGTACTTCCCAACTGGGCAACCTGAAGTAGAAATGTTAATAGTGAATGAATGAATACTTGTATATCACACAACAAGATACAAGAATATTTATTTAACGTCGAATACCATAAACATACAACCATTAGCTCAGTAGAGCTATTTCTATGATGTCTATAAACCAAATTTAGCCATTACATTCTTGTAATACTAATGTTTTATGCGTCAATAACGAGAAGAGGATATCAACATACATATAACTTTGATTTTTAAGAAGTGGCATATGCATTATTGAAAATTCTATTCATATTTATCTGACATTTGTAGAAATTGATCTTGTCGATGAAGCAAGAAATGTTTACCCTTCCGAAACACCTGATCAAATTCTCTTCTTCTCTTCGGTCTTTTTAAAGACCTACATACCCCCATTACAATATTGTCTTATTCTATATGATGGCTAAGTTGTATCGATTGTGAGTTCGAAAAACTGTTTTGTTGACTCTTTTTGCTTTGCTATTGGTTTCATTTTTTTTTCTTTTAAGTTGTATGGGTCAATTTTTTGTTGTTATGACGTAACACATCCGCAATAACCGAAAGGTAAAAAGGAAGTGAACTTATCGTAGCAATATCAAACATCTGGTCATTATCACAGTTTATAAAGCACGTCTGATACGTGAAGGCTTATGTTAATTGATTTGCCAGCACAAGTGTGTCCTATATTGAAGCTTCATTTTAGACGGAGAACATCTCGAAAAAATTGCGCTTATCGTTTTTGTAATTCTGCAACTTTTCCATGAATAGGTTGGCCTTACACTACGCATAACAGAAAGTTGAGTGACTGTCTGTCATTCGAACCTAATATTTGATAATGAATGCCGTAAGGGTACACTTGTAAATATAAATTTGATTTAAATTCCATATAATTCAAGCTTATACATTCTGTATATCCTTTATAATGGGATATTCAATTAAACACCCAAGAAAAACGACCCATACATATGTAGCTCCGGGTGTTCCTATTTTAGATTTCCGAACGCGAAGTTCATAATTTTTATATCAATACTGTTTATGTGCAAATAGGTACACTTTGACATCATGGAATAATTCAAATCTTGTGCTAAACATGATCTAATTACCATCGCAGTAAATATTGTTAATCATTAGTTAGTTAAACACTTGACAATATTCGAATGAACAAAGTTGTGCTGCCATCTCAGTGTAGTAATGGACCAGGAATATTATTACCGGGATGAGACCGGGGCAAATGGGCACAGAAGTACACTCTCTTTTAAACGCGGAACAATGTTTACTTTCAATGGAAATATTCACGCAATTGAACATTTTTCAAATGTTTTCATAGGGTGAATGCGTGCATTGAGAAGTTTTAAAAAATCATTAAAACCCAATGACGACTGATTTATTTCTTTTGCCACTTTATTCAAGACCGTGCAGTATATTTACATGTATACTTGCTTTTCCTTTTACACCTTTTCCATACGAAGTAAGTCATTTTCATACGCTTCTTCAACTTAGTGCATCATGCAAATTTTGTCAGATATGGACGGTGTATGCTTAATATGTTTTTCAATAATATACAGGGCGATGTAAGCATATAACATTTGTGAATTAACCATTTTTGATGATATAATGCAATTATCTATTTCCTTGTAATGGGATATCGACTTTTATTTCATAAGAAAAAGACATGTTCATGTTTGTTTTAGTGAAATAACCGGTCTCATCCCGTTACAAAATATTGCATTGTCCCTAATCTCTGGAATTCGTAGGAATAAAAGTATTAAAGTCGCTTTGTCGAAAAAAAGAAAACATATGGTCCTTGGCGGCATATATAGACAAAACATTGTTACACGGCTATGCATTTTACGTCTTTGCATGACAAAGCAAATATGTTTTAGTATTTCGTTATTTTTTTTATTTAAACATATTTTATTGCATAAATGAAGCAAACGGATTAGGCACAAGTTATATCAACATTACAAAGGCCCTCTCCACAATAAATTTTACATAAATTGAGAAATAGCATAATTTGATCACAATGCATACCATTTTTTAATAGATTATATGACATAATACAACAGATATAAATATGATGAGTTAATGTCATATCACATTAACTAAACCTTTGGCTGGATTTTATGTACTTTTGCACATTTTTAAAAACTGAAGTGTTTACTTCTACCGACAGATTTTCATTTCCTATGAGCAATACATTTATATCAATGACAACATCCAGATTTAAATCATCTAAATTTGAAAGAAGAGTACGCCTTTGTATATTATAACGAGGACATATGAAAAAGAAGTGGTAGGCATTCTCACAAGGGTTTCCACAAATACATTCAGAGTTCTAAGTCAAATTTACTCTAAAAAGGTCATAATTTAACGGACTACATTTGTACCTCAACTTTGTATGCAATATATTAAATTTTCTTTCTCCAAAACTGTAGAAGGATGGTGCTTTTTGATTAACTGGATGTTAAATAGGAGATTTATAAGTAAAAAGCGAAGGAGAAGATCTTGTTTCAACGTCTACCCCGTTCCAAGAAAGTAATGTTGATGGTAAAAAAGAAGAGCGTGTACAGGAAAGTCTATGATTTGGAACGATAAAATCATCTCTGTTTCTAAGTGGATAGGGATTGTTAAAAGCAACCGTGGGTGGTAAGAGATCGTTAAGAAAATATGGAGTAATACTGTTTTTCATCTTAAATAACAACTGCAGTTTTCTCTTTTTTCTTCGGTCAGATAACTTTTCCAACCCTGTTTCAATGTATAAAGCAGTGTTGTTTACATATGACGGAAAACCAGTTATGATACATAATGCTTCTCTTTGAGCCTTTTCAGGTAATTCTGATTCGTTAAGAGTACATCCATCTCACAATCCACAGGCGAACTCAAACACCGGTAAAATAAAAGTGGTATACATTTTCAACAAAGTATTCCTATTAAGAATATATTTTAACTTCCTGAGTACATTTATCTTTTTCATTACAGAATTATAAACATAATTGACATGATCACACCATTTCCCCCTTAAATTGAAAACAACACCGAAGTGTTTATGCGTTTCAGTAAAATTTAAAATTTCACCAACAAAGATAAGATCAAGTTGACCATTTAGATTTACAAAATTAGTTATAAACAAAATCTCCGTTTACCAGGGTTAAAATTTACTAGCCACTGCTTTGCCCAGGAATCGAGCGATAGTAAGTCTTGATTTAACTCAGTTTCAATATTAACACAAAGTGTGGAGTATTTAAAAATAGTGGTATCGTCAGCAAAAAGACGAGATGTAGAACGTAAAACTTCAGCAATATCATTTATATATATTAAAAAAAAGGAAAGGGCCAAAAATGGAAACCTCCAGCTTTGATAAAACCAATGGACGAAAGTGAATCAGCAATGAAAACTCTCTGGTTTCTATGACAGAGATAAGCTTTAAACCATCACAAAAGGTTTCCAGTAATTCCATAAGATTTTAATTTTGCCAATAGCCCCAAGTGCCAAACCCTATCAAACGCTTTTGATATGTCACAGGCTATCAAACATGTATGTTCTTTTTTATCAAGTGCCATGCAAATATGGTGATAAATTTCAATTAATTGATAAACAGTAGAATGGTCTGGCATAAAGCCAGACTGGTGTTCATAGAAGAGAGAATTCCTTATAAAAAAATTATGAACATGTTTAAAAATAACCATCTAAAATACTTTGGCTACAGAAGATAATAATGATATCAGTCGGAAATTTTCGTTACATACGTATATGATCCGATGTTAGTCCTTCTTCCTCAAGTATTATCATCCCGGACAGTCATTTTGATATTATTACATATTTCATGTGAATAAAACTTGCTTCTTTTTACAACAATACAAATCATACCAACTTAATAGACCCGGAAATATTATAACATAATGTTCGGCGGTACTATAAACCACGGATTCGATTAGACCTTGGTAAAACATGACAACAATTATCCCTCGTAGAGCCCTATCACAAAATCAAATTAGAAATATATCAGAATGACATGAAAGTCACCCCATCATTCTGTATGATCATTTTTAGATAAATCATTGACCAAGCTACAACGGATATATTTCCACCTGTCAATCAAAATGGTAAACAATGACCAGGTGTAAATACATACACGCAGTTCAGGTAGCCATGCCAACACATGAAATTAATAAGAAAACATGTCGCAGATATAACGTAAGCGTTGACTGACACCTCGAATGCGGGGAGATCTGCGCGCTGACACGGTCACCTGGCATGGTCAGAACAGGTAATTGGAATATAACGATGTTGTTTTCAAAACAATGAGTTTCAGAAAAGATTCAATCTGATATACGGATACATCTTTTACTATTATTTTGTTATGAAATACAATTTTCCAAGTAGTTTTCTGATCGTCTGCAAATCCGACTGAATCGGTCATCGATATCGGCAGAGTGTGTACGCTTAAAGGCAGCCACTCAAACAGGTCCGACGAGGACCGCCAACAGCCGAATTCGCGAGACATGAAGAACACCAAAGAATTGTCATTTCAGCAATTCTCCTTTGAAAAGAAAAGATCGCAATGTATTTGGCTGTTTTGAACCCGTTAATATTTATTTTTCAAACTCCAACCTTTATCATTATCAGTTCAATTCGAATGAATGTCACCTTGTAAATTCCCGTCGGTTGATTTTATCATGCGACGTTGACTCTTTTCGGTACACAAAAATGAGCTAACTTCGCCACTTTATCAATGTCGTTTATCAATTCACAAAGTAACGTCCTTAAAAGTTGGGCCTACTTTACTCGAGTATTTTTATCCGATTCTATCGTATAATATAACTTAAACTTGCAACTGTTCGTAATTGTTTAATTGGCAGTGCAATCAGGGGCTATTCAACGAAATTTAGCAGTTTACTGCTGCGAGCATATTTCAAAACATTTCCGAAAATCCTCGAAAAATTTACGATAAATGGTCGCGACCAAGAACTGGTTTTGGATTGTACTTGAGTATCGTTCCGACAGAAGCACACACTTAACAGCCCAAGACAACAGAGGTCAAAAGCTGGGACTGAAACGTAAATAATAGTCCCCACTGGGGTTCCCCCAGGGGTGACTAACTAATCGGTACAGTAGCCTATCTTGTCTCTTCTCTTCGCATCAACTATGCAAATACATCGTAAATTCTATCCGGTACATATCCATTTACATAATAAAACAAATTCGTTCGTACTTTAAATCAAACATACTAGCCAATTTAAGTAAATGTTTTAAAATACTTATTCAAATGCTTACTTCACCGTGATGTAGCTTTAAATAGTTCCTTGGAGGTAGAAAGTTGCAATTCATTTGTAGTTATAACTGTCAACAAGACATATTGTAATATGTTAATGACATTCATAGTTTAATATTGTAATAGATAGATATTACTCACCATAAACCTGTACCTCACAGAGTGCCAGTATAGCATCCGTCGAGTACCACCTTTTTGCTTTTACTCGGCGGTCATTGTAGATAGTCAGATACCGGGAGACACCTGGACATGTAATGTACTGTGTCACAGCCATGGACCCCAATTCAGCTGTGGTGTCCTTGTGACACCTTGTTCCTAATGTCCAGTCTTGAGTATTAGACAGGAATATCTCGTATCCCGCAAGTCTGGCTAGGTTGTTCTCATCTACAATAAATAATATATAGCGGGTTAGAACATTTGATACCCGAGTTAAGAGTAGGCAAAATTCATAACCAATTATTACTTAGCGTAATAATAGCTTATTGTATTTTTCTATATTCAATTTTTGCTTGGATGATGCTGTATAGATTTACATGGCAAAGTATATTTCGTTCTCTTATCTATTATTTAGGTGAAACCATTTCCTATTTGTGGTATTCGTTTTGTAAGTTAAGCTTCAGTAAGCTTTGTCTAATAGCTGTCTGTGGTCGTAATTTGTGACATTGATTTCAAAATACAACGTGATTAAAACGATTCATTCGTGACTCCATTGCAACAAACATTTGCATACATGTGTGAAAACAATACTATATAATTGCAGTCATTTCCATCAGAACGGTTCAATTATCAAATTTCACATTGTTGACTTCACATCTGTGATTGTCGCGTTTTGCTAGTAAAACGTCTTCACGACAAAGACTAAGGATTCATAGTAAAGTTTTCGTGTGTGGGTGCGGTTTTATGCACGTGAAAGGCCGATGCTATATATGGGATTTATTGAAGTATTGTAAGGGATATATCTTTTATTTTGGATAAAAGATATGTGCCATAAGTAACAACCAGCTTGGCAGTGTTTCATATAAGTGCTTTGATTTTTGGCATCGGTTGCCGATCAGTGTACGCGGTGCATTGAATCGCAAAACGGTCAGTGGTAGATGGATAACCGGTTTGACAGGTAATGCGCTTTCATACCCAGCGAGAACCGTACTCGTTATAAAGAAAGGACTCTCTAAAATGTCGGCGCTGTGGGTATCAGCAGGTATATTCTTTTCTAAAACCACGATATGCAGGGGTGCATTGTCATTAAACATCGCTATTTCATTATATACAATTATCATTTAGCTTGTGTCACTTTGTGAAATGATATGATGGTTTGTTACGACAAAGTTACTCAATTTGTCGCCGTGTCCTGTGTCACATTTGACGTTCAATACATTAGAAAATCGTGTTATTTTGAATTTAGAAAGAATAGGAAGCTGTTTGTGGTCGTAATTTGTGACCTTGATTTCAAAATACAACGTGATTAAAACGATTCATTCGTGACTTCACTGCAACAAACATGTACATACATATATTTATCATACATTATATCAAATAAACATATATCAACATAACGTATTCTTATTTGTAAAGTACGTGTTTGGAAAAGTGATTTTTGAAACAAAGCAAAAAACTTACATCTAAATATTGAATTGTTTGATAATGAAAAAATAACACCAAATAATGCCGGAACAAACAAAACCCTGTCCATAAAAGTCTGTTTCGGTACAGGAAAGTCACATACCTGTTCCTGCATAGTATTATACCAATTACGTAACATCAACACTCCCGGGACAGTACAATAATTATAATATACAACATTTATATAGCGCCTTATTTAAGTTGTAACATTCTTCTAGAGCAATTTACGACAAATGGATGATAGTATCAGCTATAATTGATACAAAAAGAAATAGAAATCACCATTAAACATGATCATATCAATATCCATATACATTAAAATATAAAGGGTGGTGTGTACATGACGTCTGTGCAAAGAACCTTTAATACAGACGTGAAAAAGTGGGTCTGTATATCCTTTTTGAATTTGGCCAGAGTCTTTGACTTTCTAATAGCAGATGGTAAGTTATTCCACAACGTGTCCGAAACCCTCCCAAACACCCGGTTTCCGTAGATCACAGTACGAGATAAACAACAATGATTCTGTGTTCGACTGCAGTAATCGTGACGGCTGATACAGGGTAACAAACTCCTGTAGGTACTTGGGAGCTGTTCCATTCAGTGCCTTGTATTTGTACACCACCAAAGTTGTGTACCACGACTTACATCGTACAGGTAACCAGTGCAATAAGAATAGCACAGGTGTGATGTGCTCTCTCTTTCTAGTACGAATAACCAGACTTGCTGCAGTGTACTGGGCCCTCTGCAGACGACTAGTTAGTTTGTCAGAATAAGTTATTTGCCACATATTAGAATTGCCATACATTCAGCAAAAGGATTGGGCACAAGTTATGTGAACATTATTATCACCATTTCCCTACAATTTAAAAGAATAAAACAAATGTGTACATCGTAAGATGACTTAATATCAATATATATATATATAGATATATGGGTCAAAGAAGTAATATAGAAGGTAAAATCCCATATAACACTGGATCCTAATGGAGGTATGTCCGTAGGATACGAATTACTTAAAATAGTATATGAGGCAAAGAAGTAATTCCAAAAGTGTGGACAAGTTTAGGTTTGACAAGGTAAACTTGTCCACACTGTTGGAATTACTTCTTTGCCCCATATATATAGATATAGATATACTATCATTATAATCGAATGATTGAATAGAAGAGAGGTAGCGAGAGAACAAACAATATTAGCATTTAACAATTTGAAACAAATATCAACTTATAGATCTATGTTCACCCATATGCTTACACACTCACACCAACGCACTCTCCCATCCACTCATACAAGCATAATAGCAGTATACATGTATAGGACCGACAGCACAAGTGATATGCTTAGCACTATTCATCACATTCACATTTCTATTGTTCACCACATCCCGCGCCATGTTTTCGTTCAGAAGAAGAGTTGGAGAAGAGACTATAGTTAGAAAGACGTAACCTAGTTGAACCTATGAGTTCTCGACACGAACTGCTGGACATGCATGAATAACTCTTCATTTTTCTCACTCGAGTTGTTTTACTACCATATAAAGGTTTCTCTAGACTCAGCGGCAAATATTTATGCAGATTTCTGAACAATCGTAGTCGTTGTTCAGTATATCTGCTGCATGTGAAGAAGAAGTGGTTAGAGTGTTCAAATTGAGTATCCGCATACACAATCAGAAGAGCTAATTAAGTTAGTGATGAAGAGATCGTCATTTAGAGTACTACATTTATGTCGAAGTCTGGTTGTTAGAATGTGTTTTTTGCGGTCGCCAACTAGATATTAATCTGGTACCTTGAATGTTTCATTTTGTTTCTTTAGAATATCTTTAAAATTATCAAAGGAATGCGCATTATTCGAGGTGGCACCAATGTAGTTCCATAATCTTACAGTAGGAGGTATGAAAGAATTGTTGGATAGTTGTAATTGGTTATTTGGAATAGTATAGTTATCAGAGTTTCTTAAGTTATATGGGGTTACAGTAGATACCAGAAGTGGAACGATTTCTTTTATGTAAGATGGGGTCATTTTATTATGTATTTTATAAAAAAAGATGAAGCTTGCGGCGAGGGCGTCTTTCAGACAGAGTTTCCCAACCTGTTTCAATATACAACGACTCTCTACTAGTAAAAGATGGTAAAACCGTGACAATACGCTCCACTTCTAATTATATATTTTTTTTAATTTACATGCATCGGCGATAGGACAACAATCCCATCCCTCACAACAGGTAAGATAAAGGTTAGATAAATCCTATTTAATACTTTTACGATTTATCTATCAACTTATCATCATTTACATCTGCAGTTTTTTTTGCAAATAGCATATAAAACGGCTGTACATTTAAAAATATTCAATTTACAAAAAGCGTTGGAATTATGTTTACTGTAGTTTATCGTAACGTAAATATATTAATTGAATGGATTTCTTGCGGCAATGAATAGCAGTAGCTGATCTACATATCTTCTGAGGCGGGCGTAATCCTTATTTGAAATTAGTAATGCTTCCGTTTTCACAGTATTAAATTTTACAAGACAACTCTTTGCCCATGTTTGAATTTTTCATTGTCATTATTGGTGGTAGTTTCTAGTTCATTTGCGGAAAAAGCAGTGACAGAAAGTGAAGTATCATCGGCGAGTAAACGAGAAAGGCTAACAAGGTTGTCAGTAATATCGTTGATATATATCAGAAAAAGTAAAGGGCCTAGGCCAGAACCCTGCTTTACACCAGCATTAGTTGTTTTGGAATAAGATGTAGCATTGTGGATAAAAACATGTTGATGGCGATTGCTTACATAATCAGATAACCAATTTTAAAGATTTCCAGAAATACGAACTTTTTTTTATATTTATGTACAAGTCGTTTATGCCATCCTCTATCAAAAGCCTTTGATATATCACAGAAAACAAGACATGAGTGTTTATGTCTTTCGAGATTATTGCATACAGTGTGATAAATTTCAATTAACTGGTGTACCGTAGAGTGTCCTGGGTGGAATCCAGACTGGTATTTGTATAGCAATGAGATACGGGCCTATAGTTAGTGGGACAGTGCTTGTCGCCTTTTTTAAAATAAAGGCATAACTAAAGCCGTTTTCCAAGAATGTCGATATATCCCTAAGTCAAGAGATTTTCTAAATATATAAAATAATGGGTATGAAACAGTATGAGCAGAATTCTTAAGCATATGATGGCTAATTTTGTCATGTCCAACTGCTTTATCTATATTAAGTTTTTAAGAATATTAACGATATCCGATTTTGTAAATTCTACATCATCAATTCTACTCTCTGTCGGCAGATCGATAGGCGGCAAATGTACGCCAGAATCATATGTAGTGGAAATGGATACAAAACAGTCGTTAAGAATATTGGCTTTACGCTCGTCATCAACTTCAACTAAATTCGAAATATGATTTAACAGTGGGGGTATAATGTTAGTTACATCTTTTGATTTTATTAGTCTCCGTATCAGTTGCTAAAAGTTATTTTTGATTCAGTACTGCGTAATTATCTAATAGTCCATTCCCATCAGCAAAACAAAGTTCCCTTGTCCTTTGCTTAAGTTTGTTGACTTTCTTCCACTGTTTTTATTTTTATTTTTTAATTTACTTAAATTATCTACAGAAAAATAACTTTTTGATTTTTTTGTGAAGTCTATCTCTGATCCCTATTTCACGTGTAACTCTGAAGTGAACCAAGGTTTATCACTAGGTCGAATTGTAATAAACTACGTAGGAATACAATCATGAGCTATTTACATGTATTTTGTTTT